GGGCGAGGCGGGAGGAGAGGGCCGGGGCCGCTCCGGGCACGGGCACGGTGTGGCCTGAGGAGCCGAGCGAGCAGCGAGCAGCGCCGTAACCGCCGCGGCGGCGGCAGCGGGGTGTCCCGGCAGGCGGGTGGCCCCGGTGCGCGGTCTGCTGCTGCTCCGGGCCGGCAGATCTCTGTCGTGCTGCTGCTGCTGCTGCTGCTGCTCGGGCATCCCTGCTGTCCCCGAGTCCGGCGGAGGCACTAGCCGTGCCCGGTCTGCGGTCTAAACGTTTTTAAAACGCAGCGTGACCGTGCGCTGAATCGGCACTGGGTTTGCTTTTATTTCAGCTCCGCTTGGAAGGAATCGATACCTGGCGGCGGGGGGGAGGTGTCACTTCACTACTAAGTGGGATTAGCTAGCGCCTTTGATCTATTTTTAATACTAACTTAGAGTTGTTTCTCTACAGGTGTTAATCCCAGTTGGTGCTCTGTTATTTTGTTATTTTGCTGCTTGTAATTTTAAAAGTGGAGAGTAATTACTGCCTGTCATGTTTTGCATAATAGCTAGAGTCTAGGTGTTATTTGCTTATAAAGACGGCTCTCTTACTGAAGGTTTTATTCCAGATACTATTATTTACTCCAGTAAATAGTAAGTAGTAAAAATTAAAATAACAGAAACCAGGGACGTTGGAAATCCCAGGAGAAACAACAGGAACACCTCGGTCGGACAAGCGCTTCAGTCCAGCTTGGTCGCTCCAGGATTTCACACTTCAGCTCCACCAGCCCTTTTTTCTGGGAATCCCAAATTCCCGGGGGAACGAACGTGCCTGCAGCAGATACACTGCAGCATCAAACCTCTGGCCGTGCCACCACCACTGGCTGCCCCCAACCATCACCGCTGCACCGGCAGGAGCCCGAGCGACTGCCACTCCCTTGGCCAGTGGCACGTCCAACAAAACCCCCGACACCACCAGGACCGCGGGGACACGGTGGAGACAAAGACGAGCTGCTGCGAGGGTGGACACTGCAGCAGGTATGATGCATAATGCTGAAACACTGCACCAGGTCACACACACAGAGCACTGAGAATTTTATTCTGCGTGAGACACGCAGCTGTCCTTAGCATCTTCACAACTCTCTCTTCACGGCACCATCACCTCCTCCATTGTGATTCCTGGGTGGAAAATGAGCCAGCTTTGTGCGTTGCAGTGCGCCCTTGCCTTCCACACCAGCACACAAAAATAGTCGCCCACCTGCCAGGGTGGCACCAGAAACCACAAAGCCCCTTGAATGAATTTACAGTCCCACAGTCTCACAAACCAGTTACACTTCACAGCGCAACCCTCCTCTGCGCTGGGTGTCTACTTCACCCCTATGCACCCTTCCACATCCAGACCCACAGCCATCTCCCCACCATCCATCACTGCATTACGTACAGCAGAGTGGCCAGGACCAGGAGGAAAAAGAAACAAAACGAGGGGGGAAACAAAAAATCTTCCCCAGATGGGGATGTGCAGCAGCATGTCTTCTGTTCTGGCTTGGGTTTGCAGCACGCCAAGCACCAAATCGAGGAACAGACGGCTGCTGGAGACGACGCCACCCACTCCTTTGCAGCAGCTTTGTACATCGCACCAACCACCTGACCAGGTCAGTAATTAAACTTACTTTTCCTGGGCGGAACACAAACCTTTCTTTAAATAGATATGAATAACTTAAGATTATGCAAAGTTACATGGGAAAGTAGTTCATTAAATGTAGCAGCAGAAATTACGTGCTTTAGCTTTCCGTCTGAAAAAGCAAACACGGTGCCGTTGCTGTTCATGTCTATTGAGACTACACATGCTGCTGAACTAGTACCAGCACTGCCTTTGGACAGCACAGGCTGCCAGAGCAGAATTAGATCCTGTAATAATCCTTCTCTGAAATGCTCCAGCTGCAGAATGAATTATTCACTGTAAATCACCAACAGCAGCTCCCAGTCAGACTCTGAGGTTTCTCCATGCGACTCCCATAACAGATATAAACAGGTCCCAAAGGACGGAAAAAGCGAGAGCAGGGCTGAAACAAAAGAAAAAAACACATCAGAAACTACCGAGCACTGTAACTTGCACCCAAGCATCTGGAACAGCAATAAAGGACAAAACCAAATGCCTTGGGAGAGGCATTGAGGGGTCAGAGAGGACCTGGGAGGTTTGGAGCAGAGTCCTTGGGGAAATCCTGGCTGGCAGCGCAGAGCAGTGGGTCAGCGAGGCCACAGGAAGGGCTGTGGGGGAGCTGGGGGGGGTCCGAAGTGGGCTGCTGAGCCAAAAGGGTCCTTGGGGGGGTGCACAGGGAGGGGAGGTTGGCGTCCTGGGGGGAGCGTGCCTGCCCTGCAGACAGCCCCAGACCCTCCTGGGGTGCCAGCAGCCCCCTTGCCACTAACGCTGGGATGGAGGAAGGGGGCTGGGGGGCAGCAGCTGTGGTCCTGTGGGACAGGGGGGCCAAGGCACTGGAGCAGTGGGAGCTGGGGACAGTCCCGGAGCAGGATGGGGTGAGGGGCGACAGGCACCAGGATGCTCCCAGGATGCCGCCTCCCAGAGCACTGGGTCTGGCCACCCCCTGCTGGCTGCTGGCCTCCCCTTCCTGCGCCACCCACCCATCCGGGCAGGCCTCTCCCACCCAGGGGTCCCCGCTGCCATGGAAAGTGGTGGGACCCTCAGCGGGTCGGGGTAGGCAAGGACACCCATGCTGCGGCAGGAGAGTGGGACCACGACAGATGGAGGGGGCCTGCCCATGTCTGCCCCTGCACCCCTCCCCATGTCCCCTGCCACGTCCCTTCATGGAGAAGCACTGAGGCCAGGGGTCCTCAGGCTGCCCCAAGCCCCCCCCCAAGATGGGCTGGGGTTTCTGCTCCCCCAGGGCCCACAGACCCTTCCTCCCCCTGCCCTGCACAGCCTCGGGCAGATTTTAGGGGCAAAGCGTTGTTTCCGCAAGCCCCCCTTGCCCGCCAGCCCCCTTGCTGTGCTCCAGGCTGTCGGCCCCTGTCGTGGTGCAGGCAGAAATGGCAGCGAGAGCCATTGGGGGATGAGGCCTCTGCAGGGCCCTGCGCTGGGGGTCTGCACTGCCACCAGACCCCCAGTTCTGAAGCCGCTTGTCCCGGGTGAGCCCACCCCCCAATTCGTCTTCTCTTCTCCCCAGGGGACGGAGGGCTCCCAGCCACGCATGGACCCAGGCGCCCGCAGCTCTGCGGCAGGAGCGAGCTGGGGAGACACCGGGGCAGGTACCAGGATGGGATGGGATGGGGCTGGGCTGGGCGTTGGGCTCGTTGCTCATGCCCCCAGGCTGGGAGTGGAGGGTGGCATGCGTCAGGGTCAACACCTGAGGCCAGGATGACGCTGCTGCCGGCTGCATTGGCACCACCTCCCTCTTGCATCCCTCCTCTCCTGAGCACTGTCACCTGTCTCCCCGGCAGGTGACAGTCAGGAGGAGAGCCCAGAGAGGGGGAGCACATCACCAAGCAGAGCAGGAGCCACATCCCCCGGGCAGAAGACGGAGCAGAAGCGTGGCGGCAGTGCCGGAGAAGCGCAGTCACAGACCAACACCTGCGAGGCGTGTGGGAAGAGCTTCAGCCTGCGCTCCAACCTGCTGACCCACCGCCGCAGCCACCTGGGCGAGCGGCCCTACGCCTGCCCCGAGTGCGGGCGCTGCTTTGGACAGAGCTCCCACCTCCTCACCCACCAGCGGCTGCACACCGGGGAGCGGCCCTACCGCTGCCGCGACTGCGGCCGCAGTTTCAATGTCAACTCGGACCTGGTGAAGCACCGGCGGACGCATACAGGCGAGCGGCCCTACTCCTGCCCCGAGTGCGGGCGCCGCTTCGGCAGCAGCTCCAACCTCACCCGCCACCAGCGGCTGCACACAGGCGAGCGGCCCTACCGTTGCCCTGACTGTGGCGAGAGCTTCCGGGACTGCTCCTCGCTCACCATCCACCGGCGCGCCCACACTGGCGAGCGGCCCTACCCCTGCCCGGCATGTGGCAAGGCCTTTGCTGACAGCTCACTGCTGGCCAAGCACCAGCGCACACACCGCGCCGAGAAGTCCTTCGCCTGCCCCGACTGCGGCAAGAGCTTCTCCACCAGCTCCTATCTGCTGCGGCACCGGCGCACCCACCTGCCTGAGAAGCCCTACCGCTGTGGGGAGTGCGGCCGGGGCTACAGCCAGTTCGCCCACCTCACCACCCACCAGCGGGTTCACACTGGTGAGCGGCCCTACGTCTGCCCTGAGTGCCGCAAGAGCTTCACCACCAGCTCGGCACTCACCAAGCACAAGCGTGTCCACACCGGCGAGCGGCCCTACGTCTGCCCCGACTGCGGCAAGAGCTTCACCCAGAGCTCCAATGTCATCACCCACTGGCGCCTGCAGCACGGCACGTCCCTCTGACGGCCCTGGCCATGCTGCCTCTTCCCCAAGGTCGGGGTCCCTTCCCTGAGGTTTCTCTCTGTGGCACTCAGCAATAAAATCTGCCATCCTGCAGCAGAGGCCACTGGTGTGGCTGGGACAGGGTGGTGGGGGGTGGATCCAGGGCGAAGTGTTGCCCAAGACACTCCCTCTGGCACTGGGGGTCCCTGGGAGCCTTGCCAAACCCCAGTTCACTCCTGAGCCCCCCTGCCGAACGGTGGCCATCCCGGACAGCTCCCGGCCCAGAAGCTGCTGTGAGCAAGCGGCTCCTGTCATTTCACAGGTGAGGAAACCGAGGTGGGCGAAAGTGAAGGAATTTGGTGGTTTTCACCCAAAAAAGTGGATGCAGAGTGGGGCACAAGGCGGGTCTCTGAGTTTTGGGTATTGGAGGCATATTCCCGCTTGCCACCGACCCCTACAGCTCCCGCCGTATCTTTTTGAGGCTGAACTGGGGTCCCTCGGGGGCTGTGGGGCTTCCCTGTGCAGCTGAGGAGGGTGGGCAAGCCAGGGGAGAGGGGGGAAACTGCAGGGCCAGCTCGGAGACAGGGATCCCCTGAGTCCCACCGGGAACGCAGCAAGCACCCACAACTCTCCCAGAGCCTGGCAAAGACCTCTGCCGCACGGAGGACAGGAGGCGACGGGCCTGACCTGGAAGAGGATGGGTCTCCCCTTGCAAGGAGCAGCTTTTCCCTGAGGACAGCCCAGCAGGTTGCCCGGGGCGGCAGCACTGTCCCCATCCAGGGAGCTCATCCAGACCAGACTGGATAAAGCCCCGATGAAGCAGCGCTGGCCCTGCCTGCAGCAGGCAGGACCTCGGCTGGAGGAGGGTCGGCTGGACACCGAGCTCCCCAGGTCCCTCCTGAGCCGGGTTACTGTAGGACCCTACCATTCCCTGGGTCCTGCTTGCAGGCACGAGGTCACCGAACAGATCTGTCCCCCTTTGCCCGCCCTTTGCTGTCACCCTGCTGCCAGCTGACCCTGCGGAGCCAGGACTGCCCCGGGGACAGGACAGGACGGGACAGGGGAGATAGGGTGGGGATGGGAACGGGAAGGGGACAAGGACAGGGATGGGGATGGAGGTGGGGATGCAGAGAGGGATGGGGGATGCGGGTGGGACCGGGGCCGGGCACGGTCAGGGGGGCAGCGGCAGCCGGGC